GAAGGGCATGTCTTTAACCCGCACTTGGGTGAGGCAAAGACATAAAGTGTAACCATAATGTTTGTACCCTCATAATACCCTGAAATAAAAAAAAGAATTATAATAAGTATAGCTACTGTAAATAGATACCATTCATTGAATATTTATTATGTGCTGGGTACTGTTCTAAGTTATTTACATTCATTATCTCATCTAATCATTACAACAATCTATTGAGATAGATTCAATTACTATTCCCTTATACAGATGAGAAAACTGAGGCTTGCAGAGGTTACATGATTTTCCCAGGGTTACACAGCCAGTATAGAGGTAGGAGTCAACTCTGGCCTAGTTGTCTTTAGACCTATCAAAACTCTCAGGTCCCTTTCTAGCCACATATTTCTATGATGAACAGTCTTATATGACTTGGTTTTCATTTTAAAAATAAAGAGAAAATTAAAATGTTTCTTTTAAGCTAGGATTTCAAAGCTGTCAGGGCACTCAATTTTTCTATATAAAAGCTATGTGACCGTACACTAGTCCTTAACCTCTTTGAACTTCAATTTCTACATCTCTAAAATGGCAATGAAAGCCCTTCTATGTTTTCGGAAGGATTAAATGGACAGCATATATAAAACAGCTAGCAAAGGGCCTGGGTTATGAAGGGGCTTTAATAAACATTAATTCACTAAGAGCTTAATAAGATAAAATGACATTTTCAAATTAAAATTATATCAAATATTAGTAATAGGATGAAAGCAAATAGATCATTGCTCTGGTGGATAAAGGTGCCTATATTTACAGAATTCTTTAGAGAGCCATGCAGATTATCTTTGCTGCAGTCCTCATTTTAATTAAGAGCATAGAGATCAGACATTTCAGCATAGGAAGAAGTTTATATTTGATTTGCACCACAGATGCACATTTTAGCATCCAAACATTCCATTCCTTGGCTAAAGATATAACAAGCTACTTCAGCAAACCTGATATTGCAAAATAAATGAAAAATGCTTAATCATTTAAAAAGATATACCAAAGAGCTGAATGGCCAAAGCATGCACATATACCAGTGAGGAAAGTTAACCAGCAGAAAGTCTCCTCTACTTTTTAAAAGGCTGACAAATGGCTTCAATTAGACAGGCAGGATATAAAATCAAAACAGTCCATCTCTATAATTTTTTATACACAAATACATATTGAAATCCAGTGTACATATCTATATGTAATCTTATTTTTGATAAAAGTATTGTTTGTGAAGAAAATCAAGTTGCAGAATGTGTAAAATATAAAATTATTTTGGGAAAACAAAGTCAAGCCCTACCTGTATCTGAGTATACATTTGTATATGTTTGTATGAACATGGAGAAAGAATGAAAGGTTCATGCCAGGCTCTTACATTAGATACCTCAAGACAGGTCACTCAAGTTCCCACTAGAGTGGGAGAGATTTGGGGGAGATTTTTGTTTCTTCATCATCTTTTCATTTCTTTGCCAAATGTAATGAACATATATTATTTTGAAACAATAAAATTTAAAGATAAAAAGAAAAAAGTACATTTGCTATTATTAATCTATCCATTCATTCATTAATTTATTCATCATCCAATAATGTTTGAATCCTTACTGATGACCTTTTAAATTGGTCTTCTCTGTGAACTCTCTGATATGACTTTTTCAGAGCAATGTTGGCTAAATTTGGTTTTTCTTGTAGGTAGCAATATCATTCTGTGTTCTGTCCTAGAATCCTGCCCTGTTCCCCTTTGGACATATTAAATTCAAACAATTTGGAGTTAACTTCACTCCTTTCCTTTCCACTATAGTTCTTGCACTAGAGAGAATGCTGATTGACTACCAACTTCCATTGAATTGTGGGTGGCCATTGGTAGCAAGACATGAAATTTCAAGTCGAAAGACTAGAATTTCACTCCTGACTTTCACTAACCAGACATGTAATATTGGGATGTTACTTTCTTCCTTTTGAACCCCCACACTATATTCTCTTTTAGCAGTAATACCTATCTTGCAGTATGGCTGTAAAGCTCAAATGAGATCATACATGGAAAGTCTTAATAAATTGCAGAGTGATGCATAAGCAATGCAACGCTATTTCTCCATGAAGAATTTGTGATTTTGCTTCCTAACAGAGGACAATGACACATGTTCACAATTATTTGCAGATTTCCACTTGAGGCAAGACTATAGTAAGTTTGAATGGCACTTAGAAGTTTTAATTTGTCCCCAAAATAACAGCTGACATGTTAGGCAAGTGTGATTTCTTCCAGGTAATAAAAGCAAACCCAATTAACCAACAAGCATATCTGACCTTGTGTAATCGTCTTCAACAAGCATGTGCTTTGGAATTGGTGAGTACCTTCCTGGAGAGATGGGCGGCAGGGAGGTTTTGTATTCTAAAGTGCCATTGTTGCCAGAGAGTAGATGGTTTTCCATTGGTGGAGAATAAGCTAAGGGTTGGGGGACAAAAAGAAAAGAAATTTGTTATGTGGGTAATTCGGTATGTCATGCTATACTTCAGAGACTGTGTTAAAAATAGAAAGGCTTTTCTACACGCGAAGGATTTTCTTGTCCTCCAAGAGTGGGGAGTTGCTGTTTGTTTGCATTTAATATATACAAGCACATGGCGACCTTTAGGATGAGAAAGATGTAATAACAGTTAAATCTGTAATCCCAGTAAGTATAATTAGGTGAAGAGAAGAATTGAAGGAGAGATCCAGCACACACATTTTCAGAACAATGATTAATTTTCTATTAAAATAAAATGTTAGCTTTCTAATTGTAGAGCTCACATTCTCTTCACATAATTAATATCCACTCATCAAAATCGAAAGGCTCCTAAGAAGTAGGTTCTTGTATCGGATTTTTCTCCCAAAATATGCTATATTCTCATCCCAGAAAGACCAAGAACTCTGGCTTTTCTTTTCCATTCCTCCTATCTAATTTGTCTACTTTTAGGTGATAGCTGGATCTGGTCCTCTCTCTTTCTATTCAAATCTATTTTACACATTGGGATGAAGTAAACCCTCCTGAAATTCCACTGTGATCATGCTGTTCTCTTGCTTAAATGATCTCCATTGCCACTATGTATTGAATACAGTATAAAATCTCCTCTCTACCATTCTTAAAATATTGATCCATTTTAGTACCTCCCTAACACAGATCGTATGGTCCTCAAACATGCCCAGTGCTCTGTGACATCCGTATCTTTGTTCTACTATACCAACTGCCTATAATTTATGTCTCCTACCCTATGTCACATGTTGAAATTTCACTCAGTTTTCAAGAGACAGTTCAAATGTCACCCTATGCATAAAGATTTTTCTGATCATCCAAATACAGATGATATATCTTCTTCCTTTGAATCCCCAAAGAACATTTATTTTTACATCTCCCATATCATATACATACCTCATATTCTGCCAAATATTGCTATTTATATATCTGAATTAGCCTTCCTTCCAACCAAGCTCTTTGAAGGCCATGATTGTATCTCCTCTGCAACCCACATATTACCTTACAGGGTATCTTATACATACTGAAGTTACTTAATACATATTTCTTGAATTGATTGGGTAGTTTTGTTTTCTCCTTTTTCTCTCTTTGACAATGACCTTATATGCCTTTCATAAAGTGGCTCACAGATTCTCAAGGCTGATTTTTCTAAATTCATCCAGTTTGAAAACTCTGAAGGTTAAAACACGTTCACATCCTATGGTAAGGCTGATCTCAGCTTGCTGCTTGCTTGAAAAAAAGAGATATATTTTGGGGGCAAGTTGTTTTAGAATCATCATAAAGAAAAGCAATAGATAATGTAATGGGTGGGTAACAAAATTATTCAACCCTTACATTTCTCTCAAGAGAAACATCTACATCTAAGAAAGGTTATACAACCTGCTTAAGACCATAGTACTAATTAATAGCAAATCCTAAAGACATTCTGAGTCCCCAGTCTCATAATTGGACTGTCAAAATTTCAGAATGAGCAAGCTTACTGATGTTGACAAAACTGTCCTTTAAATGTACATAAAAAGTGAACTGTTTCTAAATCTAGCACCCCCAAACAAAACCGTAGATGAGGTTGTTGTTGAACTATTAAGAAGAGGAGAAAACATGGGGCTTATGCAGCAGTGGACTTTGTGGGGACCCCAACACAGTGTCTCATTAGTTAATCATTAGTTGTTGCTCCAAAAGCCCCCACGTCCAGCTCACCTATACTGCTATAGTGACTGATAATTTTCTCTGTTTTCTTCGCCAATATAACAAATTCAAGTAAAGGTAAAAGCTGTGATAGTGATTGAGGATCATGATTTCACCATTCAAGTGCAAGATCTCCTCCCCCAGGAAAAAGCATAAAGCTATCTCTGGCCTACTTTGTCAGTCTCTCTTTTCCACTCTACTATTAATACTACATAGATCTCAACTAGGAAGAGAGATTTTATGGCACGAGAGCTATCATGCTTTAAGTGCTTGAGAAATAATAGCCTTTAAAAATATATCACCCATATACTATCGTAATCACACTGTCCACTACATATACCATTAAGCCTTTCCGTAATGGTAAACCTGGCAACTCATCAGGAAGTCCCACTTTTAAAACACTAGGTAAGAGCTTACAAGGCAACATGGGAGTGAAGTGCAGGATACTCTCTCTGATGTATTTCCAGAAGTTAACATGAGGGATGGTGCAAGTAGAAGACTTTGCCAACGATTTTATAAAATTCCAATTTTGCAGACCTGGCATGCTATTCAAAGATGACACTAGTGTGGTACTTACAATGAGTAATATCAGGTGGACCATAAGGATCAGTCATATAAATGGTGGTGGGTTTGCCAACTTTTAGATAAACTACATCTGATGTGTTCTTCAATATTGCTACTGCCTCTTCATGTGTTACTTCTTCTAAACTGTAGTTGTTTACCTGAAACAGAAAAAAAAATCAATATTAGAGTTAAAACTATACATCTGAAGAGAAATATTCAGGCAAAAAGATATCTGGAATTATGACTTCATTTAAAGATTAAATTATAATAATCACTGTCTAGTAACTATATCACACTTTGATAGAACAGATGAATGGCATTAGTCAAAGCAGATAAAGTATAGTCATTGAGACTAAAAAACAAGGTTGCTACTGTCTTTTTTAAAAGGAGGAAGTGATATCTTATAATGGAATTCAGAATAATATTTGTAGAAAAAGGAAATAAGCAATCAAATGCCATTTTCATTATGTTATAGTTTTTGTGATTACAAAAGTGATACATACTCATTGAAGAAAACTAAAAAAAAGAAGAAAAGGAAAATTATCCATAATCTCCCTACTTGGATATATTTAAATAATTGTGACTCTATTTTACATATTGTTTTGGAACCTGCTTTTTAAACCTAGAGTGATTATTTTTGTCTGTAACATTAAGGTACTTCAACAACATAACTTTTGTTTTCTACAGAGTATTGTGTTGCATGGCTACAACATAATGATTTAATTAACCGCTTACTAGTGCATGTTTAGTTTGCTTCTAATTTTTTGCTACTATAATATTGCAATTAATTGTTGTCTATATTGTGTACAACTTTGATAATTTCTTTGGGATAGATTTATCCATTCAAGTGGAATTGGTAGACCAAACTCTATGAACATCATTAAGGCTTTTGATACGTAGTCCCAAAGTGCTCTCAGGAAAGACAAACAAGTTTACTCTCATACCAGCACTGTATGAGAGCCACATTTCCCGATAGCTCCACCAAACCTGGATTTTCTCATTTTAAAAATATTTCTCATCAAAATGTCATTTAATATGAGTCTATTTTCCAAGGAAAGAGTGCTAATGTTGGAACATAGGACTTTTCAGGTGAGCAAATTCAAGGGTACCCTATAGCCGTCAGCTTTAACAGAAATGCCATTTTCTTTATTGCACAGAAAAGCCTGTAATACAAATGTAATTCTTACTTCATAGCAGTGGCATTACATGCTGGATCTCTGCAGCACTTCTCTGAAATGATTTTAAGGTGATCTCTCCAAAAAGACTTGGTTTCCTCACTTTGAGGAAATAAGAATAAATATTCAGGAAGTATTTTAAATACCTAGGGTATTTTTATTTGGCTACTATTTTTCAAAAAGATATATTTCATTGTGTATATTTGAGGTTTGCAACATGATATTATGTAATACATATAGTAAAATGATTACTATAGTAAAGCAAATTAACATAGCCATCATCACGCAGTTACTTCTTTTGTGACAAGAACAGCCAAAATCTACTTATTTAACAAAAATTCCTAATATAATACAATTTTTTCAACTATAGTCTTCATGTTGTACATTAGATCTCTAACTCCTGACCTCAAATGATACTCCCGCCTCGGCCTCCTAGAGTGCTAGGATTACAGGTGTGAGCCACCATGCCTGGCCTGATCTCTAAACTCGTTCATCCTATATATCTGTTACTTTGTACCCCTTAACCTACATCTCCCTATTTTCCCCCTCTCCCCACAATCACTGTTTTATTCTATATCTCTGTATACTTTATCTTTTTAAGATTTCATATATAAGTGAGATCATGCAATAGTTTTCATTCTGTGTCTGGCTTATTTCACTTAGTACAACATCCTCCAGGTCCATCCACGTTGTGGCAAATGGCAGGGTCTTCTTTTTTAAGGCTGAATAATATTCCATTGTGTGTGTGTGTATTTTTTTGTGTGTGTGAATATGTGTATATATATACACATACATGGACATTTTCTTTATCCATTCGTTCATTGATAGACACATAGAATATTTCCATATCTTGGCTATTGTGAATAATGCTGCAATGAGCATGGCAGTGCAGATTTCTTTTCAAGGTGACAATTTCATCACCTTTGAACATGTAACTAGAAAACAGATTGCTGGGTCATATGGTAATTCTGTTTTTAAATTTTTTAAAAGCCTCCATAATTCCATAATGATTGGCCCCATCTATGTTCCCTTTAACAGTGTACAAGGGTTCCTTTTTCTCCACATCCTGAACAACATTTATTATCTCTTATCTTTTTGATAATAGCTATCCTAATGGGTGTGAAGTAATATCTCATAGTGGTTTTGATTTACATTTCTCTGATGATTAGTGATGTTAAGCACCTTTTCATAAACCTGTTGGCCATGTTTGTGTCTTTGGAGAAATGTCTGTTCAAGTCCTTTGTCCATTTTTTAATTAGGTTATTTGTTTTTCTACTGTTGAGTTGTATAAGTTCTTTACACATTTTAGATATTAACCCATTATTAGATACATGGTTTTCAAATATTTTTTCCAATCCATAGGTTGCTGTTTTACTTTGTTCATTGTTTCCTTTGCTGTGCAGATTTTTAGTTTGATGTAGTCCCATTTATTTATTTTTCCTTTTGTAGCCTGAGATTTTGATGTGATATCCAAAAAATTACTGCTAAGGCCTATGGAAAGGAGCCTTTCTCCTGTTTTATTCTAGGAGTTTTATGATTTCAGGTCTTATGTTTAGGCCTTTTATCCATTTTCAGTTGAGTTTTGTGTATGGTGGAAGATTAGGGTCCAATTTCCTTCTTTTGCATATGGAAATCCCATTTTCCCAGTACCATTTATTAAAGAGACTATCCTTTCCCCATTGTGTTCTTTTGTTTACTTTGTCAAAAATTAGTTGACCACATATATTTGGATTTATTTCGGCTACTATTGTTTTGATGGAGTGATGCTTTATTTACTTTCTGCCAAAATGATGTGGAATTAAAATAAATGCTCCAAGAGCATTGAATTGAATCTCTATAGCATATATTCTCTGTCTTATCTAATTAGCAGTCCAGTCATATAATACCTTGGAGCACTGCTATTTTTTGCTATTATTATTTTTGGCCCATGTTGTTACATAAATTTCATGGGCCAGTTATTCCTTGGTAATGTAGCCCAGGTTAAAGACTCTGAACTGGAGGAAATTGAATCTGGCTGATGTGTTTGAATGCTGACCATGAGCTCTCCACTAAGCTGTAAGCATCTCTATTGGTCCTCACTCTTCTCTTCTTAAGTGGCATTTTCTTAAATCATTTTGTATTTCCAGTGTCTGGCATTTGTTTGTTCATTGATCAAATGTTTACTGCATACCTGTTATGTGCCAGGCACTGTTTTAGATACTAGGGATATGGTAAGCAATAAGAATGATAATTATAATCATAGCAAACACTTATATAGCCATATTGCATGCCAAACATTATTTTAAAGTGTTTTCTATCTATTAACACAATTAAACCTGCACAACAACTTCTAAGGTAGCTATTGTAATTACCTTCATTTATAGATAAAAAAAGTGTGTCTCCAAGATGTTAAGAAATTTGATCAAAGTCATTGATCTGATAAGAGGTAGAGGAAGAATTCAAAGCCAGGCACTTGGCTCCAGAGACCATACTCTTTATCACTCAGCCATACTGCTTCTTCCAGATAGACAAACTCCCTGCTTCATAAAACCCACATTCTAATAGGAGACAGCTGTTTGTAGAATAAATGGATAGAAAAATAAACTCATGTGGATAGGGAGAATACAGGGACGATAGGTATGGAGAACAGAATTGATAATGGCAGCCCTTAATAATAGAGAAATAAAAGCAATATTATTACTAATAAGAGCTAATATTTATTTAATATATATGTCACATATTTTGGGAGTACTATGTCATGCATGTTGAAATAAATCATACAGCTTATCTTCAATATAGCTCCATGAGGGAGACACTAATAATTAGGCCCATTTTACAGATGAGGAAACCTGGTATTTGAAAAGGTTACCTTGAAACAGCGATATTATACTCTCTTCAGTTGGCAAAGTCATCAGTTAGATCACAAGCCTCCTTAAAATATGAAAATGAGACTGTACTTATGTGCTGGTTCTTTAAAAGCTAGAGCTTAAATCATCCATTCTTTCTCCCTTTAGGGGAACAAGGTCTCCTTCCAAGTTTACATATAAAAGTAATATGAATTCAAAAATATTGTAAAATTATAAAAACTTGAATAATCATTATACTTCTTGCTTAATCCAGTGGTGACAGTATATTGCATCATCCTAATACACTGAGTAGTCAAAAAATAAATAAATAAAATGGAAAGTAGCTTAATGTATCTTCCTGTCACAACCTTTTTATATCTTTCATTAATCACTTATTTTAGGGCAGTACCACTTGTGCCTAGATAACAAATATTTACAAGTAATGTTCATATTTAATGGTTTAAAATGTGTAAGGAAGTGGGTGTTTTCTCTAAAAAAAAGATCAAGTAAGGCAGCTTTGAATATTGTAACCATGGACCCCTGAAACATCTATATTGAAAAAAACAGAAGAGAAACACCATTTGGAGATGACAAGTGAATGGAAAAAAGACCCTGAAGGCTAGAGACTAACTGGATTAGATTATAAGTGGCACCAAAGCTCTGTTTCTGACAAGGGCTCATTGTCTCTCTCCCCAGGGTACAGAAGGTACACAGCTCATTAGATTATCAGTGAAAGAGATGTGGCTAGTGCTTATTAAATTGAACCTTTTGCTATTTTTAAGGTGGGCAGTGAGATGATCCAGAAAATGTTACCTTCAAGTGCATTTTCAGAGAGTGACTTTGATAACAGACTCTCAGACCACTAGGAAAATCTTTAGACCAGCAAGCAAAAGTTGAAGAAAGGGTAGAGGTGAGAAGTGGGGAAAGAGAAGATACTGGGGGGATAACAGTGGTAGTTTAAGACAGTAGTAGTTCAGTCAGTTTCTATTTGGTGACTAAGTATAGAAAATTTACATAGATTTTAGTCATGGAACAGGTGGTATTGTGATATTGGCAGCAGAATGGAGTGATTAAGAGAAAACGCTTCTGAATTACACAGACTGAGATTTGAGTCCCGGCACCTTGTAGCTATGTGACTTTGGGAAACATATTTAACCT